AGAAAAAAAGAAGTAACAGTCCCCTGACATCAAAGACTCTGCAGAAATAGTGTGTGCATGAGTGACAACACAGGCCCCACCCCAGATGCTTGGTCCTATAGACAGCCTGGGGCGCGACAGTGGGGCCCAGAAGAAATAAGGTTGGATTTCTCTGCCAGCTCAACAGGGTGGGGACTCAGAATAAAGATGAAGATGATTTTTAGAGAAGTTTTAGAGACTGAGAGAAGAAGGAAATGGGAACTTTCCGGTACCCCTGGGTGTGTGAACTCACATTTATGCGTGTTGTCTCCCCCATTCCTTTCTTCCAGCCAGGCTGGTCTGGCCTTTCTGTGCCGACTGGGGTTAATTCCATGGCCCCTCCTCCATCACTTCCAAGGGCCTCTCAAGTGAGGCACCCCCTCACTTCCTGTCCCCCCAAAGGCCTCTCCCTCCCTCCTCTGAAGCTTGAAGCTCATGGTGCACCCATTTGACAGATGGGTATGGTGAGTTCTCTGGCTGTGCTGGGACTTGACTCCCCAATTTAGCCAGGAGCTTTAGGAAGGTAGGAGACAGGACCCTTTCTCCTAACTCTGGGCTGATCATTGGAGCCCCTGCCCATCAAGAGGCCCACGGGCCCAGGGCTCGGACCTTTCCTCAGAGGCACCCAGCCTTCGTCCGCCTTTCCTCGCCCCATCCACACTACAGTGCTTGCTGCCACCTTTGCTGACACCCTGGGCAGACACAAATGCCCTCTCTGTGTAATACCCAGGCGGCCTCCGGGATGATCCCGCTACCCGACCAGCGAGCGGGTGTCGTGGCAGCCCCTCCTAGCGCGAGCCTTGCCTGCACCCTGCTCTACCTGCCATAGATGGGCAGAATTTGCCGGAGTCTGCTGTTGACGAATGAACCCGTTCTGTGTTAAGAGCCTCCGCACTCTCTGTACACCAGGACCACGGCAGATGTAAACACTGGCGGCCTCTCCTCCCCGGCTACATAAACTTCGGGCTTTCAGGACAGGGCACTACCCCAGCGCACTCAAGGTGTTTAAAAACAGTGTCAGCTCCGGCCCTGGCTCCTGGCAGAGGCCAGCCCTCCCTCTCCCAGCTGAAGTCCCGGGGCCACTGACGCAGCGGCCGGGGAGCGGGGGGCACAGAGCTCATCTCCTAAAGGAAGATGGCTTCAGGGGACCCTCTGGCTTATGGACAAAGGGTGGCTGTGAGGAATAAACCCTTGAAGGCTTTGAAGACCCTGATGCCCTCCAAAAGTCCTGCCTGACCTATCCTGTGAAAATACGAACGCTACTCCCTTCCGCCCTGGCACGGTGGTATTTTAAACTTCCTTTCAGTATTTGTCACTCATTAATTCCTCTGACATTTATTGAACAAGCACTCGGTACCGATTGCCAGGCATCATACTGTCCCGTCCACTCAAAGTGGCCTCACATTCCACATTAGTGCTCATCCATTAGTTTAAGGCTTTCATACCTATGTCTGTATTTGCTGGATCTCGGTAGATAGATGCTAGATAGATAGATAGATAGATAGATAGATGATAGATGATAGACGATAGATAGATGATGACTCCTCATCTCTCATTCCTGAGTCATCATTCTCATTAGCTAACATTTATGGGGCCTCTATGATGTGCTGGCCACCCTCCTAGACACTGGACATGAGACACAATCCAGGCCGCGAGGAGCTCGCCACCCATGTGACAGGGAGGTGACGAGGGACGTGGCTGTGATAGACCTTGAAAGAAAGGAGGCAGACGGCCCAATAGAAGCTGTGCTGGGCAGAGCCGATCGGGGATGGGGACCCACCTCACAGGCAGTGGGGTTTGGGGCCTCCTGGGGCTCCCAACCTCCTCTCCAAATGAGGAAGTAGATCAGGATCCTCTTTGAGTTTCATGGACCAAGAATATCAAAAACCTAATTGATGGAACCGTAGAGGTCGCCAACATTTTATGCCACTGAGTAAGGAGCTTTAGAGAAAAAGGAAAGCCAGCCTCACACTGCCATCTGCCATCACGTTATTTCATAAAAGAAAAACCATGTTAGCCCCCAAAGAGGAACAGTTGGTCTCAGAATGAAGGCGGGGCTTTCAAACCGGATCCACTTAGCTGAATAAAAGGCTCACCACATTGTCATCACTGCCTCATTCTGCGCAGTCCACGTGAACTTCCCAGATGACCCGCGGCACTGATGTCCCTCGATGCTGCATGTGACCTGCTGAAGCCATGACCAAGTGGCCAACGCCCAGCACAGTCTCCTGACCAGAGACATGGTCACATGACCTCTGACGGCATCTCCCAGACACTGCTGAAGGTGTGTCCAGCCCACGTCTCTTCCTGGAGCCCCCTTTCCTCCCCCACCCACTTCCCTCATCCCCGAAGCTGTCCCACCTTCTTCTCCTCCAGATGGCCTAGAAAGCATTTCCTTCCCCACCTCCAGGCTTCAAGCCTCCAGCCTGGGGCCAGGCAGCACGAATCATAGGAGCACCCATGAGCACACCCCCCGTGTCATGGGAGAGGCTGCAGTTCTGCATGGTGGACACAGTTTGTGCTTCCCAGACTCCCTTCAAGCCCCTGGCGTGCTCTCTGCGGACCATCAGCTGTCACCTGCTTCGGCCATTGTCTCAGCTGCAGAGAGCTGCCTCGTCCAGGCTCACTCCCCTTCTTGGGGCAGCCCACAGGCAGCCATGGATGGAGGGCCACCTCTGCCCAACACAAAGCAATGCCAAAAGGCCACTCTAATTCAGAGCGACCTGCCCTGCGGGGCTGTCCTTGGCTGTCATCTAAGGCATCTCAGCTCAGTTCCTCCTCCGCCTGCTCCCCTCCCTTCCCCAGGTGTCATCGATCCCACAGAGTTCCTTGATTAACACCCTGCCCACGGAAGTCAGGATTGGAGTGGCTCACCAGGGTCCCTAACCTGTGCCATCAGCTCAACCAGTCGGCCAGAAGCAGTGGGCGGCCCTTCCCCCTCCACTCCCCAAAATCTAGTCCCCGGACATATATACACTGAAGGTAGCAGGACGTTGCTGGAGGAGGATGTGTACTATTCTGGGCTTCTAGAGCTGCTGACCTGCTCTCAGGTGCCCAGCCCCACACTGTGCTTGCACCTGAGGCACAACACATTCTGGCTGCCTGGGAGCAAGACGCAGAACAGCAAAGAGAGAGAGAGCCCAGGGCGCCTGCGTGGCTCAGAGACTTAAGCATCCAATTCTTGATTTCAGCGCAGGTCGTGATCCCGGGGTCACGTGGCATGATCAAGCCCCATGCTGGGCCCCACACTGAGCATGGAGCCTGCTTAGGATTCTCTCTCTCCCTCCGTCCCTCTCCCCAACATGTGTGCTCACTCTCCCTCTCTCCCTAAAATTAAAAAAAGGTTGAGTGAGAGCTGCTGCTACTGTTGCCAAGAGAGGGCAACGGCAGAGGCCCGTCAGCAAGGGATAGACGTCCAGAGGGTGGTGGCCCGCTCCCATGGCCTGGCTACGGCTGGAGCCACCTGTGTCTGGAGCCGACCCTGGGAGGACCCCGCAGCAGTGCAAGGCTGGATTCTCTGGAAACTGTCACACACACACACACACACACACACACACACACACACACACACACAGCAGGGCGACCACTGCTGGGGAACGAGAGCCCTCCTCTGCTTTGATGTGGGACACGCCCTGCCCCGCTGAGCCTGGCCCACCTTCAGGGGCCACACACCCAAGGCGCGCACAGAGGCACAGTGTGTATTCACTTACACACATCAGCCCCACGCGCACGCGGCACGCACACACACGGTTGGGGACCCAGAGCAGCCCCTCAGCGCTGAGCGCCCGGGCCTCTCAGGGCTCACACAGGGGTGGCGAGCCCCATCCGCGCCCTGAGGCAGTGGGGTCCCTGGACCAGCAGCATCAGCATCCCCTGCAAGCCGGTCAGAAGTGCCCCGGGTCCTGTCTCTGGGGCCCCCGTGGGGCCACGGCTCCTGCCGCGCTTTGGGCAGGCTGCCCCTATGCTCTAGAAACTGGCTGTGCATGATCTCCCTTAAAAGTCGCAAATACACCATGAGATGTCACCTTATTTCTCCCATATTTTTCATATGACGAAGCCCAAGTCCAGTAACTTTAAGAGACTTGCCTGGAGAAACCCAGGTGGACCGCAACCCAGCCCAGCACCCCAGGCATGTAGCTCCCGGCCTGGGCTAAGTGTGAACAAGCCCCCCACCCCAGGACGGCGCCTCCGTGCCAGCCCCCAGCCCTGCAGCCCCTATTTCCCCTGGGTCTCTCCCTGCCCTGGCAGCTAGTCCTAAATCTTTTCTCGAGAGACAAGGCTGCTGGGCCATCCAAGCAGGGGGTGGGACGAGGGGCGGGAACCAAAGTCATTCCTTGTGAGCTGAGCAAGCCGCCCCTCTGCCAAGGCCCTCACCCGCCCTGCCTGTGGTGAGCGGCAGGGAAGGCAGAGGCTCCCGGGGCTGACAGATGACAGGATGGTGAGCATGTCCCAGCTCCCAGCCCGGCCTGCACCCCACAGCCTGGAGCTACGCCTGCTGGGCGGCTGACCTGCGGGACCCCAAGGCTGCTGTTCTGTGCTCAGCTTGTCCCATCCAGAGCGTTTCCTGAATGGAGGACCTGGGTTTGAGTCCTCGCTCGTCACCGACTCACTGAGTGACCCGGGCTGGCCACATCCCCTCCGGGCATATGCTCTTCATTCCTGCAGGAAAGTGGCTGACTGGTGACTTACAAGGATGTTTCCTGCTCTGAAACTGTGTCTTGGATTCTAGATTTCCAACAGTTGAGAAGTCTGGGCGGGACATGGGACTCTGAAATGCCAATGGCTGTGGACCCGGCTCTCTGCCCAGCCTAACCTCATCTCCGCCTAGTCTCCCCTGACGTGCCTGGCTTTGCACCTACTCCTCTGCCCCCCACATATGCACACATCAAAGAGAATTCCCCTTCTCTAGCATATCTGGCCAGGGCACCAGGACTCGGGAGGAGCGAGGAATCAGGCCCCTCATCCCAGACCCAGAGGCAGTCATGGCGACCTGTGCTTCCGTGACTGATGCCAACGTCTGGCCCGGCCTCGAGAACACCACCACGGGCATCACGGCCTTCTCCATGCCCGGCTGGCAGCTGGCGCTGTGGGCCACAGCCTACCTGACCCTGGTGTTGGTGGCCGTGACGGGCAATGCCACTGTCATCTGGATCATCCTGGCCCACCAGAGGATGCGCACAATCACCAATTATTTCATTGTCAACCTGGCCCTGGCCGACCTCTGCATGGCCGCCTTCAATGCCGCCTTCAATTTCGTCTACGCCAGCCACAACATCTGGTACTTCGGCCGTGCCTTCTGCCACTTCCAGAACCTCTTCCCCATCACGGCCATGTTCGTCAGCATCTACTCCATGACCGCCATCGCCGCTGACAGGCAAGAAGGGGCTGGTGGGGAAGCTGGGGGAAGTTGTCTCACTTTGGTGGGGCTCAGACAGGGCTGGTGACTCACCCACAGTCACACAGCAAGTTAAAGGTAGAGCTCAGGGAACTGCCTACCAACTGAATCACTATCTCATGTATACATCTGGGAGCGAATGGTGGCTCAGTCGGTGAAGCGTCTGCTTTCAGCTCAGGTCATGGTCTTGCAGTTTGAGTTTGAGCCTCACATCAGACTCTATGTTGACATCTCAGGGCCTGGAGTCTGTTTCAGATACCATGTGTCTCTCTCTGCCCCCCCTCCCCCCGCTCTCTCTGTCTCTCTATTTCCCTCTCAAAAATGAATAAACATTAAAAAAATTGGGGGGGGGGCGCCTGGGTGGCTCAGTCAGTTGAGCATCTGACTTCAGCCAGCTCAGGTCATGATCTCACATGAGTTGCCCCCGCGTTGGGCTCTGTGCTGACAGCTCAGAGCCTGGAGCCTGCTTCAGATTCTGTGTCTCCCTCTCTCTCTAACCCTCCCCACCTCACGCTCTGTCTCTCTGTGTCTAAAAAATGAATAAACCTTAAAAGAAATTTTAATAAAAGTAAATAAAGTATGCATCTGGAAGACAAAAAAATCATGGAACCGAAGGAGGCAAAGTGAAGGTTAGACACAGGGAAGAACTTGGCACTAGACAGTCGTTAAAGGCTGTAGGGAGAGAAGGGCCCGTTTAGGGAACTTCTAGAATATTCTTCTCTGGAGTTGATCTCTTTTCGTGTCTTTCTTTTACTACAAGGACATGACTTATATTGTTTTCCTAATCCTAGATAGATCATACTGGGGGAGGGGGGTTAATATCACATACAGGTATCATATAATCACAATGGGTCCAATACATCCCCGATGCTGTTCTCAGGGGGCTGCAGGCTGTGAGCTTCTTCTGAAGGCCGGGAGGGCGGAGGAGTGATCTCTGGAGACAAATGCAGTCCTTCTGAAGCTGGTTGGGACAGGCAAGTCACAGTTTGGACTTGGAAGGCGACAGTGTGACCCTAGGGATGAATGGATGGGACAGATAGCAAACAAAAAGGGACACAGGAAGACACCAGGTGTATGTCCAGGTGGGGCAGGCCTCAGACCTCAAGACAGACCCCTTGTCAGGATGGTTTGAGGAGGCATGAGCCCCGCGGTCCCCCACCACCATGCCCGCCCCCGGTCTGCATCTGCACCCATCTGCCCAGCGGCATGTAGCAGCCGGCTTCTCTGCTCCGGGCTTTTTTCTATAGAGTTTCCCTGAAGATTTCATTTGAGAAATCTATTTCTACTACTTAAAATTGAAAAGAAAAGTTCGAAAACCATTTGTCTAGGCCAAGCTTCTGATTTCATGCCCAGGTCAACTGAGGCTAGAGACAAGCAGGATCACTAACAAGTCAGGGTCAGGGCCAGCGGCTCTCAGAAGGGGCGCGTCCCTCATCATCCGACCACACCCCTGCCCCCACCAAAAGCACCTCAGGACCCCTGGATGTTTCTGCAGGTCCACTACCATTTTCTTCTCATTCACTCAATAAATATTTGAGTGCTCCCTCTGTTTCAGGCATTGGGGAACATTCACCAGAAGGAAAGAAAGTCCTTGGAATCAGGCCTCACGGAACTTGTATTTTAAGGGGAACGGGGGTGATGCATATTGACTGAGGGCAGGGTGGGAGCCTGGAGACCAGGCAAGAGGCTGGTGAATGATAATCCAGGTCAGAGAGGGTGGTGGCTCAGGTCGGGGTGTAAATAGTGAAACTCGTCCATTCCTTTCTTCATTCATTCATATGTTCAAGGCCGGCTATGACAGATACTGCTCTGGGCACCGGGGCACAAAGCAGATAAAGATGTCTGCCCTGGTGAGAATTTAAACAATAAACACATGAATATATTGTGCGTGGTATTTTGAGGTCATGAGTGCTGTGGAAAGGTATGAGGGAGAGGCGAGGGGACCCCAGGTGCCAGGCTGTGTGTCGGGGAGGGGGCAGACTGCAGCGCTTGCAGCGCTAGACAGGGTGTGGGGTCGGCCCCACTGTGGGGCGGGGGGATTAGATCAAAGATGGAGGGAGGTGAGAGAGTGAGCCCCATGAGCTCTGGGGAGAGAGCATGCCAGGGAGTGGGCACAGTGGCAGCAAAGGCCCGTGGCAGGATCGGGCCTGGTGTGCGTGAGGGGCCCCAAGGAAGTCCGTCCTCGCCGAGACAGGGTGGAAAAGCTAAGGGCGCACAGAGTCTGCACACCTGGTGCCTAGAACACCCAGATGTAGACTTCCCTGCTTAGGGCAAGTTCATCCTATTATCCCAGCCTGGGCTCCACGTTCAGATTAATGCCAGAGAGGAAGGCCCAGGGGTCATCCAAGACCAAAGTCACCTCTGGTGCATATAAAGGAAACAAACACACAGGAACAGTGGGGCTTTCCAGTCCTGAGCCCCTGCTGCCTGCAGGCACTTCTCATGCATCTCACTCCTTCGCACAACCACCACAGGGGCACAAATGACTGTCATCCGCTCTACAGGAGAGGGAAGGGAAGCTCGAAGAGCTTAGACGGTTTGCGTGAGTCCCTACGGCTGGAACGCGATGAAGTCAGGATCCGCATTTAGATCAAAGCCCCAGAGCTGCCCCTTGACTAACAAGGAAAGAGAAAAAGCTCTCCTCTTCCCCCACCCCACCTGCTAGGACAGAAGGGAACCTAAGCCCCCCAGTTGGCCCGCTGATCATCTGCCTCATCTGTGGGGAGGAGGCCCCCGAGGAAACTAGGCACTGCTCTTGCCCTGCTGAGGCACTCAGCCCAGATCCAGGCTGTCCTGGGGTAGAGCCAGCCCAGGGCCTGGCCGCAGAAAAGGGAGAAGGTCAGTATCTCAGATGGAGGAAGGAGGGGTCAACAATCGTCCAGTCCAGACATGCATCACTTGTGACCATAGACCGTGCACAGAAATCCGTGAGCTTCTGTGGGGCGAAAAATCACCGTTCCAGATGGAGGCAATACAGCATGTGTGGCTGGGACTCCAGCGGTGCCCGGGACCACGTCACCATCACTGATAGAAATCGCAGATACCTCTGTCATGCAGAAATCTTAAAGTATCACCTACGGTCATCACTACTCAAAACTTACTACGGGGACGGGGTGGGGGTGGGGGAGCACCTGGGTGGCTCTGTCGGTGGAGCGTCTGACTTCAGCTCAGGTCATGATCTCCCAGTTCGAGAGTTCTAGCCCCGTGTCGGGCTTGCTGCTGTCAGCTCAGAGCCCACTTCAGATCCTCTGTCCCCACCTCTCTCTGCCCTTCCCCAACTTGTGCTTTTCCAAAAATAAACATTAAAGAAAAAAAAAAACTTACCATGGGTTCCAGACCTGCTGCTAGATCTTTTCGTTTAGGGGGTTGATGAAGAAGTGTGCATGTGGCTGTGCCCCAAATCTATTTTATATTTTGATAACTGTATTTCAGTATATCTGATTGTCTTTGTAATTCTGTGTAATTTATTTGCATAAAAACTGTATTCTGAGAAGAGACCCCCCCCCCCCGTCTCGCCCCACACCCTCCCTCTTGTGAGGCTGCAACCAAAGCCGCAGGGCACAGGGCACAGCATAAGAGGAGCAGTATGGGGGCCGAGGTGGAGCCCCATGTCTTTGGTGGACGGTGTTCTCTGAGTCCTTTGACCTTGGAAGCAGGTGGCGACCCCCGGCTCTGCCTCCCTCAGTCAGGGCCTTGACCCAGAGGCCTCAGCCCCACCAGGCTCCAGAACATTCCCGCAGCGGCTTCAGGGGTCCCAGGAGCAGAGGGGAGCTGCATGACTTAGCTCCGGGCCAGGACTGCCTCTTCTAGCTGGTTCTTCCACTTCCGCAAGCCTCAGTCTGCTGGTACAGAAAGTGGGGAGAACACGCGGGCCAAATAGCAGCTCAAATCCTTGAAGTTTCCCCAGAGAGACGCAGGAGCTGAGGAGACAAGCCTCCTTTTGACCACCTTCTTGGAAGAGGTGACCTTTCACTTGGACTTTAATGAATCCAGTGTGGAAGGAGAAATCTCAGGCTGAGGGGGAAGAAATGCTCCCACAGAGGGTCACCCGGCAGGGCTGTTCCTTAACCAGAGTGAGCTGAGGAAGGTGTGGGAAGCAGTGACACAGGAGGCTAGAAAGCTAGAAAGTGCACTGGTCATGTGCCGAGGGCCTTGAATGCCGAGTTTAAAGGTTTGGGCCTGCTCTGTCTGGTAACCTAACTATGTGCCCATTTACATTTAAATTAATTAAAATTTAAAACTCTGTTCCTCAGTCATATTAGCCACGCTTCCAGTGTTCATAGCCACGTGTGGTTAGTGGCTGCTGAACCACACAGTGCATATACAGAGCATTGCCACCACCGCAGAAAGCCGACAGGCAGTCCTGGCTTGGGCTTTGTCTGGGAGACTGTCGGGTTCTGCTAAGGTTTCTGAGCAGAAGAGAGACAGCACAGGGCCTAGGGGCTCGGCAACTTTAGGCAGATGTCTTGAGTGGACTTCCAGTGGGGCCACACCGCCCTCTGGTGGCCATCTGAGAGCAAAGCCACAATCAGAGGGAGGCGATAAGGTGAGGCCTGGGCTGGGGATTTAGGCCACTCGCGTGCTGTGTGGCTGTGGGGGAGTCACCAGCCCAGGTGGCTCTCTGCGGGGGGAGAATGGGGCTACAGGGGTGGGGGAGAGGGGGAGGGCGCCCACCACTCACACGACCCTCTGCTCACAGGTACATGGCCATCGTCCACCCCTTCCAGCCACGGCTCTCAGCCCTCGGCACCAGAGCGGTTATTGCCGGCATCTGGCTGCTGGCCCTGGCCCTGGCCTTCCCCCAGTGCTTCTACTCCACCGTCACCATGGACCAGGGCGCCACCAAGTGTGCAGTGGTCTGGCCCGAAGACAACGGCGGCAAGATGCTCCTTTTGTAAGGCCTGGGTGGTGGGGAGCATAGTGTGTGTGTGTGTGTGTGTGTGTGTGTGTGTGTGTGTGTACGTGCACATATGCTCATGTACGTCTGTGAGGCTGTCTGGGATTATGTGAGTACATGTCTCTGCTCAAAGTTTCACTTAGCACCTACTAAGTGTCAGCCTTTACATACATGAAGCCCTGTCAGTCCCCTAACGCTATGGGGTTCGCATGCATTATTATTCCCATGCTTCAGATGAGGACACGGAAGCACTAAAAATGAAGTAATATGCCCAAGGTCCCACAGCTGGCAGGTGGTGAAGCAAGGGTTTAAACCCAGGCAGTCCTGGGGGCGCCTGGGTGGCTCAGTCATTTGGGCGTCTGACTTCAGCTCAGGTCATGATCTCACAGTTTGTGGGTTCGAGGCCCGCATCAGGCTCTGTGCTGACAGCTCAGAGGCTGGAGCCTGCTTCAGACTCTGTGTCTCCCTCTCTCTCTGCCCCTCCCCTGCTCACGCTGTCTCTCTCAGTCTCTCAGAAATAAATAATTTAAAAAAAACAAAAAAACATTTAAACCCAGGCGGTCCTGCCTGAGAGCCACCACTTCCGTCCCACCCTGCTACTTCGACAAGGACGCATGTATCCTTAAAGGAGTATGTGACACTGGGTGTGCGGGCATGCTGCACCTACTCATGTCTGTGCGTGTGTGCAAGCCCAGGGCTACGTCTGCAGAAGTGTGTGTGGACATGGGTGTGTGTTTGGGGGAGGCCACCATAAACGCTCAGGCCGCAGGGGGTCAGGGTTGAGGCAGAAAGAAAGGGCCGGTGACAGAGCTTGGGATGTTTCAGGAGAATGTCGGGTGCCTGCCTCACGCTGAGTGGGTACCACGGGTGGGGGGATGGGGTAGAACACAGGCGCGGGCCAGCAATTGTGTGACCCTGGGTAAGTCCTTCCCCTTGCTGGGCCTCAGTGTGCCCAGTTCTCACTGCATGGACCCCCGATCCTCATGCGCAGCATGGCGGTTTGGCAGAGGATAGAGAATTTGCAGTCGTTAGTTGGGTCACAGTCCTGCTCTGTCCTTGATAGTCACTTGACCCTTCTGACCCTTTGACCCCTCTCTCAAGCAGGAACTAGTAAGAGAACTTGCTGGAAAATTGCTGTGAGCATGCGTGAAAAAAATGTATGTGACGCCGTTAGCGGCGCACCTGCCACAGAACTGACACCCATTATGTAGTAGTTGAAGCAGGAGACACGTGAAAACAGACCGGGAGGTGGCAGATTTAGTCCAACGGGGGCCCAGCTGCCCCAAGCAGGAGGATGCGGAGGCTTTAGGGAAGGGCTGCCAGGTCACCATGGCAACACAGCCCCCACGCCACCCCCGCCTCCTTGAACACCCCTCCCCCATCGCCCGCCCCTACGTGGTTTCCATCTGCCCCAAGCACCAGCCGGAAGAGGGCCTCGCTGTGGCCTTCAGTGCTAGGTAAGAAGCCTGAAAGCCTGTTTCTGGGGACTGATGAGTTTTGAGGGCGGCCTCTGCCTTCCCTCTGTTCCGCTACCCCCCTCCCCTCGCCCGGGTCCCGCCCCGGTCCCTCCCCCAGAAAGTCTCACTGCTCCGAGGGCCGCGTCCAGGTAGAGAAGGCTCGTGGAGGGGTGGAGAGTAGAATATTTTGTGACTGACCACTGGGGGGCAGTGTTTCTCCGCCTTAACACAGACCTTTCTACCTGAGAAGGGGACCCTGAGAAGGACCAGTAATAATCTCGGGGGACCCAGCGCCAGCTCTCTGGGGGTGGTGAGTTCCAACCCTGATTCAGGCGCCAAGGAAAAGCAGGAAGGCTACTTAGGTGTTACGTAGAATTCTGTGAGGACGCGGGGAGAGCCGGGTCTTCTGTGTGAGAATGTATTACTGTTCTTGGGTGGTGACACCTGAGGACTCCACCCTCACAGGCTCACACCCTGGGTATATAGGAATCTGGTGAAATTACAGATGTCCCTCCAGGAAAATGCACATAGATCTCTAAGATCAAAATACCAAAAAACTCCAGGCAATGAAAGGAGGCATTCCTGATTTGGGGCAGGCCCCAGATGATCCCCACGGCTCCTCCGTGCTCCCTTCTGTGTAGGAACCTAGCCCAGGGTGAATCCCTATCCTGAACCGTGTCCCAAGGAAACGATGAGGCAACAGAGAGATGTTACTCGTACTTGTGAAGGACCTTAGGGATTACCTCTTCGCTTTACAAATGGGGAAACTGAGACTAAGGGAGAGAGCAGACTTGCCTGCGGTCACACTTGGAAGCTAGAGGCTGACCAAGATCTCAGTTCAGCCTTCACAGAGCTGACCTTCAGTGATAGGGAAATCGTTCTACTATTGATTCAATCTGTAGGGCTGTTTCATGTGTCACAGACTTTCTGCACCTCCCTGTGGCTGTTCCCCCTCCAGACACTGAGACAGGTGGCCTTGCTGAGCCTCGCGGTCTATCTAGCTCAAACAGTCTGTGACCTCCCTGCCCTTCCCTGCCCTTACTTGGTCCCCAGCAGGACTAGATGACTATCCTGGGGTCTAGCATTCCCCCAAAGAACAAGCAAGCAGAATTCTAAACACAGGCTTTAGGGAAGAGCCATCCGCTCTCCTCCCTCTGGGTGCCAGCACCTCTTGAAAACGGGCCCAGGGAGGGGCCCAGGCTTTGCTGGAGAGGAGCTACAGCATCCCTCAGACACCGGAGTGGCCAGCCCGCATCTCCTTTACACCATCTTCCAAAAGGAAGGGAAACTACTCAACACAGCCCAGGTTGTTCTCCAAGGAATTAGATGAGGAGCCGTCCGTGGCGATCCGGGCCACTTGCTCGAAGGTGGTGCGAGAGAAGGTGTGCTAACATGAGCCATGTTCCCAACCAAATGTTGGTGGGCAAGAGAGACATGACCGATGTCGTGTAGAGTTTGGCCCTGTTGCCACTGCCCCGTTCCCTGAGAAGGATGCTGGTGCAGGATGGAGCCATATCTACTCCAGGAAATCTACCTCTCCAGACAGACAGATGCAGATATAGATTATGGATACAATCTATCTAACACAGGTGTACATATACATATCATATACAGACATGATTCTGGAAGAAAACATTCCAAATTATTAACGTGATGAGGATGGAATGAGTAATTTTACTTCCTCCTTTGTGCTTAATGGCATTTTACATGTTAAACAAATGTACCGTTTGGTTAACTTCTTCATTCCTAGTTACTTCCTTTTTTCGTAGTTATTTGCCTATCACCTCGAGGAACGCAGGTGAGAAATCACGCTGGTGTCTCTTTTGCAGCAAGGGAAGCCCTCTTTGGGCATAAATTGCTAGCCCATGTGGTCTTTTCTTAAAATTTTCTTTAAGTTAAATCAAGGTCTGGGAAGTGGTTCTGGGTGGCTAGCCCAGAGTTAGCTCAGGGACGCCCGCAGGGTCCCGGGGACAGAGCTCTGGCGGATGCCGAAGTCGCCCCCGGGCCGTCCCGTGCTCAGGCCTTTGGCTCTCCCTCCAGGTACCACCTCGTGGTGATCGCCCTCATCTACGTGCTGCCTCTCGTGGTGATGCTCTTCGCCTACAGCGTCATCGGCCTCACGCTCTGGAGACGCGAGGTCCCCCGGCACCAGGCGCACGGCGCCAGCCTGCGCCACCTGCAGGCCAAGAAGAAGGTGGGCGCCGGGGGCGGGGCCGGGCGGGGGGCGGGGCCTCTACCCTCACTCTGTTCCGCTCCCCCCGGCCCCGCCCCCAGAAGTCGCACGGCTCCCGTCTGGGCCCCGCCCCGGGGCCCCACCCTTCCGGGCTCGCAGCCCGCCCCTAAGCGGGTGCGGAGAACAGGATCCACCCCAAGTAGCCGGGTCCCGAGTCCTTGGCCAGAGGCTGAGTTGATTGTTCCCGGGAGGACGGTTTGCCTTGGCCTCTGCCCAAATACGAAGCTGAAGGGATTTCCCAGAATGTCACCAGAATCGGAGAATCCTAAAGCCCCACGGAATTTCAGATACCCGCAAGAATCTTAGAATGATAGATTCTCAAAATCTTAGACTTTTTGAGTAATCGGAACGTTGAATTTAAGAAGCCCCACAGAAGCACCGGGGGCTCCCGTACTGAATCACAAGAGAATTCTCAAATGCTGGAACTGGAGACCTCCGAGCTTATGGAGACTGGATTGGACTCCAGCTGTATCCAGCCTGCATTCAGTTTCCAACCCGAGTGCCAGTGTGCCCTCTCTTCCCCCCATTCAGGGCCCCCCAAGGAGTCTGATACGGTATTCTGTGATTCAGACCTTCTCCCAGTCAAAGCTTATCTTTGCCGCGGCCCCTTCCTGTTAGGCGTCCAGGGGAGGTAACGGTGAATCCCGTCATGTATCAGGTCAAAGGCTGGGCTTCATGTCGGCTACCAGGCATTTTTCACAGGGCAATTCAGGGAGGTGGGCGGATATGGGACACCACCTGAGTGTCCCTCCTCATGAGGAGCTGGCCTCTCCACTTTCCATCGCTGACTTGCCCTCCCTTCCCCATGGGGTGCTGGGCCACACCCCTGCAGGGACCAGGCCATGAGGGAAGAAAGGTCAGGGAGCGGGCTCCTGAGCAGAGGCCGGGGGCCCCGCCTAGAGTCTCACTACCTACAGTTAGAAGGGCTGTGGCAGACACAGATCCCAGGGAGAGGGGCACCTGGGAACCCATAGCTGGCATAGGGGAACCCTCAAGGATGGGGTTAGGAGCTAGAGCGCACCCACTGTCCAGGGAGGGGAGCTGCTCTGAGTGAAGGGGTCCAGGACACCTGCTAGATGAGGGGGCCGCTGAGCTGGGCTTCAAGGACTGAGGCCTGGCCTGAACAGGAGCCCCGAGGTGCGGGGCCCCAGAGTCAAGGCGACATGCGCTCCAGGGGACTGAGGGCCTCCCAAGCTGGCCTGAGGGGTGCCTGCCGCCACCCTTGGAGGATTGGGGCCGGGGGCTTCCAGGCTGACGAGTGACCTGAACCTCTCCCGGCCCAGTTCGTGAAGACCATGGTGCTCGTGGTGGTGACCTTTGCCATCTGCTGGCTGCCCTACCACTTCTACTTCATCCTGGGTAACTTCCAGGAGGATATCTACTACCACAAGTTCATCCAGCAGGTCTACCTGGCACTCTTCTGGCTGGCCATGAGCTCCACCATGTACAATCCCATCATCTATTGCTGCCTCAACCACAGGTGAGCCCTTAGCCCTCCCCTCAGCCGCCAGGGACCCCCGGCCTGGCCCCATCTGGGCTCCCCTGCATGGCTTGAGCCTGTGCCCCTCACCCCCACACGGGAATGCCATCCTCACAGTGAGCCCACAGCTCACTCCTCACTCAGGTCTGGGCCTGGCTTGAGCCCCTCCTCCCCCCCCAAAGCCTTGCCCCATCGCCCAGGCCCTAGTGCTTACCGTTGGTCTGCTCCTGCTCTCCCTTCTGGGGCGACATCTGGGACGAGGAGGAGAGAAGGGACAGAGATGGAGGGAGTAGAGTCAGAGAGAGGCCAAAAGGCAGATAGAGAGGGAGGAAGAAGCCGGATAAAAGAGGTAGGGACTTATTCTGTCCTGACATGTTTTTTATGTTTTATTTATTATTTGAGAGACAGAGAGAGAGCAGGGGAGGGACAGAGAGAGAGGGAGAGACAGAATCTGAAGACAGCCTCCAGGCTCTGACCTAGCTGTCAGCACAGAGCCCGACGTGGGGTTCGAACCCATGAACCACGAGATCATGACCTGAGCTGACGCTGGATGCTCAACTGACTGAGTCACTCAGGCGGCCCTCTGTCCTAACCTTTTTAGGAGCTTTCGGCAATAAGGAAGAACCAAGGACTTCCCTTGGGCCAGTTGAAAGCACCAACCCCATAGTATGAAGCCCTCGGTTGGGGGCCCAGGGCCGGGACTGGAGAGAGGGCAGGCAGCACCCTGGGAGGATCACAGTGCATTTCCTGCCCTCGATGGGCTTCCCGGGCAGCGGAGGAACGACCTCGGCAGACAGCCAGGGAGCAAGTTCTCAGTCCTCCCTCAGACCCCCTGTACGTCTGGGGAATCGGAGTCCCACAGAGGGGCTGGGGTTTGCTCTGGGGCACCAGGGGAGGTGCGAGGTGGTGGCCCAGGTGGGAACCCCAGCACCCTCGAGTCCTGCTACAGGGCGGGCCCTTCAGCCTCAGGAGACCCCGAGGGAGGGTCAGGTAAGAAGAGGTGAGAGGTGGACACGGAGTCCTGGTCTCCACCAGCCAGTGACGTGGGTAAGGTTGGGCCTCTGTGTGCACACCTTTTACCACCTGCTGCCCACGTGTCCAGGTCACTCATGATTGCCATTAGGGTCTTTGTTGCTCAGATATCCCATGCACCGGGGGCAGGCCAGAAGGAAGTGTGAAAATTGTGATATATATAGATATATAGATAGATAGATAGATAATATATATAGATATATTAGTGTCTATATATATATATAGTGTCTATATATATATATTAGTGTCTCATGGGCAATAAATCCCTCCGTTGTCCATTGAGAGGTACAAAGTAGATAATAAGAGGAAGGGAGGGGTTAGCCCCATTTTACAGATGAGGAAATTGAGCCTCAGAAAGGAAGACTCCCAAACTGTGTACAGAAGGGAGTGGAGCCAGGATCCCACGTTAACTCCCAGGCCTGTAACCTTAACGCCACATCACACATTTCTCTTGATGCAGCTTAGAGGAGAGCTTGGAGGCAGGGACGGTCACATCAGGGAGGGGCCCCCAGCACCCCAGTCTGCACATTGGTCACTCCCGTTACCCAGTGACAGTCCCTGTGAGTCTGAACAACTCCCAGGCTCCCCACATTTCTGAAGGGACTTCGGAATCGTCGGTGGTTGGTGACACCAGCTCTAGAGCGGGACCGATGCTCCTGGCAGGAGTCTCCATTCCTCTGAACGTGCTCACAAGCGGCTGCGTGTGCCCAGCGCCGACACAGGCACCTGGGACACACCAGGGAGCAAAGGCAAAGGATTCCTTTCCTCCAGGAGCCGACGGTCCAGAGGGGAGAGAGACAATAAGCAGGCGTGAAGAGTCCATGAGTCACACAGTGTACTCGGTGGGAAGTCCTAGGGGGAATAGGAAAACCGAAGCTGGGGAGGGGACGGCAGGAAGTGCGGGGGGAGCGGTGGGCACAGGGGAGCGATTTTACAGGCTGGTCAGGGTAGGCCTTATTGAGGATCCTTTTGAGCAAAGGTGAGGCTTGAATGGACCCTGCAGCTGTCTGGGGAAGGGATCGGAACAGAGGGAACAGCCTACGTCAGGTCTAGGTAAGGGCCTGGGCCGGTACTGCGCCGTGAGGAGCCCCGCGGAGCTCGGAGCTGGAGACACGGGCTCTGACCTGCCTTTGGAAAGGATCGGCCTGGCAGCGTGTTGGACCTGGACCACTGCGGGGCAAGTGGAGAAGCAGGGGACGGGGAGGCCGTTGCGGGGATCGAGGGGAGAGGGGGGTTCAGACTGGGGTGATAAGTGGTGAGAGTCTGGATGTTACTAAGGTAGAGCCAACAGAATGATGGAGGGGAGGTGGCATGGGAGAGAGGCAAGGGTGGCTCCGGGTCCTGGGCCTGAGCAGCCAGAAGGTTGGAGATGCCAGTCGGGATGGCCACAGGGGTAGGGGTGGGGGGGGGGAGGAGGGGGAGCTCCAGGTGGGACATGTTAGGTGTGGGCAGAAGGGGCAGAGGCCATGAAGCTCCCAATAGAAGCATTTGTTGGGCCCCCGTGCCATGGAATCTTGTAGAAATACAAGGTGAGGAACCCAGGTCAGGCTCTTCTGGAACGTGGAATCCTGTGTCCTGGGGTGTCACCCAGGGTCTCACTGATTTCTGCTCCTCTCTGACAGGCCAGTGTTCTCTGCCAGCCCATTTCCTCCACTACTGCCTGCTTCCCCTTTTTTTTTTTTAAAAAGTTTTTATTATTTTTGAGAGAGAGACAGACCACAAGTAGGGGAGAGGCAGAGAGAGAGGGAGACAGAATCAGAAGCAGGCTCCAGGCTCTGGGCTGTCAGCACAGAGCCTGACACAGGGATCTAACTCGTGAACCATAAGATCACGACCTGGGCCGACGTCAGACCCTCAACTGACTGAGCCACCCAGGTGCCTGTCTGCTTCCCCTTCCAATTTACATTTAGTGCAGTCAGGGGGAGAATTATTTTTTAAGCAAATATACCAAAATGTAGTAGTTCCATGTGCAGCTTTTCTTTCAAAGCAGCCCCCTTGGGAGAGCATCCTTACTGTACCCAACACTGCCAAAGTCCAGATTTCTTTAGAAGCCTCTAGAATACTCCTTTAGAAGCCACTTAACAAGTCAAACAAGAAACTCTGTTGTTTCTTTAGGTTGTATTTGGTTTCCTTTTGCCTATAATAACAAATGGTCTGATTTGGCTTAATCACCCACTTCGGTCACTAGACGTAGCTACAGATTACTTCTGGGTGTTTCCAAAAATCAAATCCACTGAGAAATGTGTCTCTCAAGAGACAGTGAACAATGATGGGCAATTAGGAGAGGACGACTTTCCTGTGGACGGCAGCCACAGGGCAGTTTCTGTACCTGTCCCCTCCCTCCTCTGCTCAAGGTTTCGCTCTGGATTCCGGCTCGCTTTCCGTTGCTGCCCATGGGCCACGCCAACTGAGGAGGATAAGATAGAGCTGACTCACACTCCATCCCCCTCCGTGAAGGTCAACAGGTGTCACACAAAAGAGACTTTTTTCCTGGCTGGAGACACAGTCCCCTCTGAGGCTACCAATGGGCAGGCAGGGCACCCCCAAGACAGGCTGCCTCCTGAACCCTGAAGCCTTGTGCCTGGCTGCTGGGTGAGGCTTCGCACCCTTGCAGAAGTAGCCAGTTGGGAGGCCCAGACCTGAAAGTTTGACCCACGCCCCAGCCATCAGTACATCAGTGGAAAAACAAGACGGTGTGAGGAGCTCTGCAGTGGCTGTTAACTCTGAGGGCCCAGTCGCCCTTGACCATGCTTCACAGCAGCCAGTAAGTCAAAGACGACACTGTGAGCCACCACGTACCTGATCCAGGTGTGGCAAGCTCAGAAGACTTCCTGGAGCATACAACGTAACAAGTGAACTGGATCCAGTATAAAAGAAACACGGCGAATGTGATAAAAGGCAACGGACTTCCAGTGGTGGGGTCATGGGGAGTGCTGGATACCGTGGCAAACTGGAGGGCAAAGGGGACAGTAGCTGATCGGCTCCGGACAAATGTCTCCATGGGGGCCCACTGTTGCCAGATCTTCTAAATCTTTCAAGACACACCAGAAATCCAAATTTGTGAGACTTCCAGACTTGCACGATTTGGCTCACAGTTTTATAAATATTGGTCAAACCAAACCAAACACCCAGGGGCAGCACCCACTGGTTTATTATCAGGCTACAGACACGGGGAGGAAGCATCTGCTTTTGCAAAGCCTGTGAGGGAACCTGACCGGGGCTTCTCTGCTTCAGCATGAGCTCAGGTCCAGCTCCGTGGACATGGTGGTTCAGAGTCAAAGGAGCCTCAGCCGTGTTGCCTCCGACACGTCACTATAAACTAGCATGCCAGACACGGGAAGTGGGGCGCAAAGAGCCACCACGATCTTTATCAACACCAAGCCAGCCGTTTCACACGAAGGCCCCCAGGAAGTGAGCACCAGCCGGCACCCTCACCGCAGCAGCAAGAAGGTGATGGGCAGAGAACGCCGGCCATCTCGACTCCCGGAGAGCTCCCAGCCCGGCCACCCTTCCCCACCGCCTGCCGCCTCACCCCACACACCCCACTGCCTCTCCGGAAGAACCACGTGACACCGTAAATGCGCAGCAAGAGAGTTTAATGCTGTCTGTGTTCCCCACAAAGATCACCATGCCAGAGGCACCGGCAGTGCCAGATAGAGGGACTCCGCTCTGGACATACCAAGGGAACATGCGGTGGGTCCTAGAGGGAGCCACGTAGGGCTGGAGTCGTGGCTTGGGAGAACCATATGGCGCCTCACTCATGGGGCACCAGGTGCGGACTGACGTGGGATCCGCTGATGGGCCGTGGGGGTGGAAAAGTCAACATCAAGGTTGAGGTCGGGTAGGGATGAAAGGGCCCGATGAGGATCAATTTCCTGGAGAGGGTGTTCATTTAAAGTGGGAGAGGAAGACATGCAGGCGCCCTGCTAGCCGGGCTGCTGCAACACTTCACCTGTGTCACAACGGGGGGGGGGGGGGTCTCCATCTTCTGTCCTCTGTCTACATCTGTCTGTCCACCAGAGGGTGACGAAGGGCAGGGTCTGCCTGGGGACGCCAGTAGGGAGACCGAAGCTGCACTGTCCTCTCATTAAACCCAAACAGCCTCTGGACGCCCCTGGGGGACAGAGGCTTCCCATCGCTTTGCCTTCTTAAGAGTGCGGGGTGGGACCCTGGGGCAGGAGGCGGCCAGGCAGGTGCTGGGGAACAAAGGGAGAGGCTAGTTCTGTCACACTTGCACAGGGGGGCAGAAGAACGTTATCTTCCTGGCAGACTCTTCCCCCGACCCAGAACCCCTAGGACTTGGTGTTCACCGCACCCCCCGCGTCCTCCCCGCTCTCCAGCCATTAAGCGTCACTCGGGTCTTTGAACTGGTACAAAGTTTACTAGGTCATACAACATGGCTCACAAAAGCAATGGGAAATTCCAATGAGGGCACTGTTTGTCGGTTTGGTTCCTTTTACCCAAATGGAGACGAGACACTTTCCCGCAGAACTGCCCACCTCCCCTCCCCACCCCCAACAAGACAGACAGAATGCAAGACCGTCACGACATGGCTCTGACCAGTTCCACGGACACACGATTCAGTGGCACTGACATGTCTTGAGGGCAACCTCGGGGCGCCAGACAGCAGTGGGCGCTGCGCTGGGACGGAGGGAGCGGCTAAGGTCCCCCCGGGGCAGGAGGAGTCCCCGGCAGTGTCTGCTGGTGATAATACATTTCACACAAGGGGTGTGTCCCCAAGGACGGGCTGCGGAGGCCCAGGAGGCCTGTCAGATGGTGCGACTTTTCATCTCGGGCCAATAAATAACTCTGTAGGACGAATGCAGAAACTGGAAATGGACGCCACTGAACTTCACACATGGGGCGCGTACGACCGGGTAGAGATCGGATCATGCAGAGTGGCGGGGCAGACGGGGAGGGGCCGGAGTGGGGAGAGATTATCAACAGCACACGCTCTATTTTGTACCCTACGTTATGCGCCATTAGTTGGCTGGGGTCTCCCTCCCCGCCGCGGCAGAGGCGGGCGCCGGGGTCTCCCAGCACGGCTGGCTGGGAGGGGCAGAGGTCGCCGCCCGAAGAGAGAAGTGCTGGAAGGGCAGCAGGCGGGGGGCCGGTACCCTTAGCTGCTCGCTTCCTCCCGGAGCCGGACGCCCACGGCCGTGATGAGCGCAGCCCCCTTGCCGCTACCGTCTTCGGACAGGAGGAAGGACACATTACACTTTGGTGACAGTTCCTTCACGGTTTGGTGCATGATTCTCGAGAAGCTGGAAGAGAAACACACAGAGGAGAAGGGACGCTGGACCCACGGGGAGACGCTGCCCGACGCTACGGAGAAGGGGACACCCAAGGGGAGGGGCTGCCCGGAAGCAGCTGGGGAACCGTGCACTGGCACACCTGCAGCGTTCAGCAGGGGAACTACGGAGAAGCCAACACTAAGCGACTGTGCGGCTCGCTGGGGCCAGGGCATGAATAACACACTCACGCACCCCTCCCCAAAGCTTAAGGTGTCTCAGGGACAGGACCCCAAGAAGGGTGTTGGGCCCGTGTATTGTATGGCCCGGCGCTGCGTCGGGAGGCGACATGGGAACAAACGTGGTGTGGCCTGGCCGCAGCCCATCACCGTGCATGGCCCAGAGCTGGCATCTGAAGCCAAGAGCCGCAGGCCCCCATGAACGATGATCTCTAAATGATCGGCGGCTCTGGGTTCCTACATTTCCGTGCTGACAATGACAGTGCCAGGCGGGAGCAGCTCAGGGCAATGCAGTGCCGGCGGGGGTATAGCGCCCTCTCTGGGACACCGCGAGGGCCTGTCCCGCATGAACACGGCTGTTTTCAGTGCTGCTGGTGGCCGTCATCCCATGAGGAAGAGGAGACGCGGCAGTTAAGCACTTGAGGCCAGCCTCCAAATAACGCTGCCGGGATGACATCCCAAGTGTGTGTGGCTCCCAAACTAGCTCCGAGCCACACCAGGGTGCCGCCCCAGGGGATGACAGTGGAAAGACAGACGGAGGTACAGATGGAGCAACATAGCTGGCTCCATCCCATGCCATGGCCACAAGCTAAGCAGCTAACACCCGCCCTCACTTAGGTGAGGATGCTTTTCCGCGGAGTGACACTATGGCCCATTTACCCGGGATAGTCCCCATATAAATATTAGCGGCACTCTCTCCCCTGGCGAGAGCACCCCAGTGTAGACGATAAATAACACGGTCACTCTATTCATAAGAGCCAAGCTTTGGGGTATGGGATAGATCAAAGGGCAGGTGGGGCCAGACATGCTCCTTGAGCACAGGGTCCCAGACACGTGACCATAACGAGGCCGCTCGGCACCCCTCTCTCTGCCGCAAAGCCCAGAGCCAGCACGGTTTCTGCCTTCCTTCCCGGCCTCTCGAGAGGCTGATCTGGCAGGTGACCTTGCCAATGGGCCCTCCTCCCTCTGTCCTTCACACCCTCTCCCCACTTACCAAATACAGCCCCCTGGCCAGGCTGAGGGGGAGCCTACCCCGACCCTTGCCTCACCCTCTGCCTGGCCGAGGGGGGCCCAGGAGGAGTAGGGAGAGGGACGTGCCATTCGCTGCTGTGAGCTGACCACGTGAAGCCACTCCTCTCCGAGAACCTCAGTTAAACTTCAAAGCCGCTGGTGGCCCCAGACAAAGCCCCGTCTCCGAACGCACAGCCTTCAGGGGGCCCGTGTCTCGGCCAGGAACCTTCCCGATGGGACGCACCACCCCCCTCCACTGAGTGGAAGGAAGACCCACTCACTGCGGGTGAAGCTTGTAGAGCGTCCCGTCCACACCCACGGTCACACTGAGGTGGTCCAGGCCTCTGTTCTCACGGATCTTATCCACCACGGCGGCCATGCCTGCACCACACAGCTGTGCGGCCCGCCTGGACACCACCCCGCACACTGTCTTGACGAGGATACTGTCGTCGCAGGTGCTGTTCAGGCCCAGCTGCTGGAGGATGGCCCGCACCTGGAGCAGCGCCAGCCGGTCACTGTGGTGGACAGAAGCCAGGGGGGCTGGGTGAAGGGGGGCCCACCGACGTGGCCTGGCAGCAACTACAGAGGACGCGCCCCCAGTCACCGCACTGACCAGGAGTAGGGCCCTGGGGGCTTTCTTCCTCCAAAGAAACATTTCTTTGTTTCTTTTCAAATGGTAACCAAAGTATATTACATGCTAAACTGTAGAAAATTTAGCAAATATAGAAATATAAAACTTGGAAAATTAAAACTATCCACAACACCACAGGCAATATTATTAATGTTTTAATGTATTTCTTTCCTTCCTATCTACTTTTTTTACTTTTTTTTTTTAGTGTTTATTTTTGAGACAGAGTGCGGGCAGGGGAGGGGGAGAGAGACAGGGGAGACAGGGGGAGAGAGACACAGAATTGGAAGCAGGCTCCAGGCTCCGAGCTGTCAACAGAGAGCCCGACCTGAGGCTCAAACTCATGAACCGGGAGATCATGACCTGAGCTGAAGTCAGACGCTTAACCAACGGAGCCACCCAGGAATCCCCCAATCTACTTTTCCTAAATATCACTAAATAATATCTTCGTTCTTATGTGCAAAATGGGCTCATCTTTCATATGTGGTTTTCTTTCTAGGTTTTTTCCCCTTTGCACATCTGAGCGATTTCCCACGTCCTTATCTGAGAACGGGGCTGGAAACAGCTGCCCTGGTCTTCCACTCTGGGGACACACCCTCATTTATTTAGTCAGGTTAGAGAAACTTGACGTTGCTTGCAATTCTCTGCTGCTGTGAAGGAACACTCTGATGCAGTCTCCCCTTCATAAATCTTTGTGTGCACCTGATTTCTCCCTTAGGATACATTTCCAGGTCAAAGGGATTTTGACTCATGTTGCCAAGTGCCTTTCAGCAGGTCAATTGCTTTTTCTCTCCCTCCAGCTGATCTTGGCTGTAATTGTCCCCAGTGGAAGGGGTCATTTTTAAAAACCTGGTAATGGGGACACCTGGCTGGCTCAGTTGGAGGCGCACGCGACTCCTGACCTCGGGGTTGTGAATTTGAGCCCACAGAGATACTCAAATATGCTATTTGAGCCTATAGAGATTACTATAAATAAATAAACTTTTTTTAAAAAGTGGTAACGGCAGGATACTGTAGTTTGATCTGCACGCTTCTATTAGAGAGAATAACCGTTTTCTAAAAAATGTGTTAATTGGCCAAATGAACTACCTATTAGGTCAAGACTGTTATTCTCCTGGGATATTTGTCTCGTTATTATTAAGCTGAAAGAGATGACAGTGACCGACAATGATGACAAGGGTGGTAAGAGCAGCCAGCCTCTTTTGAAGACGTAGCATGTGACAAATACATATATCACCTCGTTATCTCTTAACAACCCCACTGACGCGTGTAGTGTTATTTCTGTTTTGAAGATGAGGATACTGAGGCTGGGGGAAATTGAGTCACTCAAAGAAATGCTGCCACTCAGTGCACTCAGGTCTGCCGGCATCAATGTGCTGGGGCCTTCTGTCTGCTGCTAGCACTTCACT